ACTTGGACAAGAACTTGGACAAGGAACTTGGACAAGTTTTATCACGTGTTTTCCTCTTACAGAGCCACTTGTCCAAGTTCGCCCGGGGAACTTGGACAAGGAACTTGGACAACTGCGGGCCAAGCTCTCTCAGTATTACGCCCCGATTCCAGGCAGGCCCCGATTCCGTGTGCCTCGCCTCTCTCTTTAGAGGGCGTTTCCCAAATGGATTCTTTTCGACCTGAGAGGCTCCCAGCACTCGTCCGTCCAGCATTTGACCTCGTCCTGCGAAGGATTCGAAGTCTAAAACGCTGCGTGCAAGCGTGTGGCTGCAAAATAATGACCCGTGCCGCAATTTGGCTCCAGGTTGCATTTCAAGCGATGTCAACCTTTGCCAAAGGAAACCCCTTTTCCCTTTTTTTTGGGGACCCCTTTTTTTGGGACCCCTTTTTTTCTTTTTTTTGTTTTTTCTTAGCCCTGCAAAGGTTGGCTCGCTTGAAATGCAACCTGGAGCCAAATTGCAAGCATATCTAGGGGTCATTATTTTGCAGCCACACGCCTGCACGCAGCGTTTTAGACTTCGAATCCTTCGCAGGACGAGGTCAAATGCTGGACGGACGAGTGCTGGGAGCCTCTCAGGTAGAATAGAATCCATTTGGGAAACGCCCTCTAAAGAGAGAGTGTGGACGAAGGAGGTGGAGCAGGGCGTCATTGACAACATGCTCATCTTCCAGAAGCCCTTTCCAGGGGCCGCCGCACCGAGCTTGAGAGCCAGCTGCAGCGCGCCGTCAAGGTGAGCGCCAAGGGCGTCAAGTGCAAGATTGACTTGGAGCGCTGCCTCTTCTGGGACCCGGCCGGCAACCGCGTGCCGCGCCCCGCGGAGTTTGCGCGGGCCGACCGAACCATCAAGGCCGTCTACGAGGATCCCCGCACCGGTTTCGGCAGCATAGCGCAGACGCTGCAGCAGGCCCAGGTGCGCGACCCCAGCATCTCCAGAGGGGAGGTGAAGGCGTTTCTGGACGGCCTCCGGGTGAACCAGGAGCGGCCGCAGAGAGGCTACAACAGCTTCGTTCGCAGGGGCCGCGCTTGTGGAGGCCCGGCACGTGTGGCTCATGGGCAGGCAGCGGGGCGTGCTCTTTGAGGTGCGGCACCTCAGCTGGAGCCCCTGGAACCGCCGTGCTGCCCGTTCTAGGCCGCCTCCAGCAGCTCGGCCCTTGATCCAGGCGGACGCGGTTGTGGAGGGTGAGGCCCTGGCAGCTGGCGAAGGTCACTGCGTGGCTTGGCCGGGTGGCCCGCAACAGTTCTGGTTCTTCAGACGCATGCCGTTGTCCAGCCTCACTCCGCTGTTTTGCGGAGTTTGGGTTGGTACCGATTCGTAGCACCCAAATCTCCAATTGAGCAGCTTTGAGGCCTCCGGCGCCAGGGCCCGGTTCGCCGCTGCGTTGACGGCATGCGCTTGCTGTGGCTGGAGGGGGCGGCCTGCCCTTTCCAGTACCAAAACATCAGAAGGCGATTGAACGGACAGAAAAAAACACTTTGGCATAAGCTCGGTTTTATTGCTTTGCGTTTTGCGGCGTTTCCTCAACCCAGAGCCGTGCCAGGTCGCCGAAGATAGATCTTGCAGGAGGCGTGGGAGCGCTACAAAATGCTACTACTCTAGGCCGTTTATTTGCCCAACCCGTTGGTTTCTTGAGACCCTAACCCAAAAAAAAGGGCTTTCTCAGGATCCGGGAATTCTCCCCACCATGAAGAACGCCTGGAGGCACGCACGTTCCGCAGGGCAGCTCGCGCTCTGACGCCCCGCGCTAGTGACAGACCTGGCAGTGAACACGGCAGCGTCCGGCAACGCCACCCAGTCCCTGGACGACCGGGTCACCGCAGAGCTTTCTCTTTCTCTTTCTCTTTCTCTTTTTTTTTTCTCTTTCTCTTTCTCTTTCTCTTTCTCTTTCTCTTTCTCTTTCTCTTTCTCTTTCTCTTTCTCTTTCTCTTTCTCTTTCTCTTTCTCTTTCTCTTTCTCTTTCTCTCTTTCTCTCTTTCTCTCTTTCTCTCTTTCTCTCTTTCTCTCTTTCTCTCTTTCTCTCTTTCTCTCTTTCTCTCTTTCTCTCTTTCTCTCTTTCTCTCTTTCTCTCTTTTTCTCTCTCTCTCTTTCTTTCTTTCTCTCTTTCTCTCTTTCTCTCTTTCTCTCTTTCTCTCTTTCTCTCTCTCTCTCTCTCTCTCTTTCTCTCTTTCTCTCTTTCTCTCTTTCTCTCTTTCTCTCTTTCTCTCTTTCTCTCTTTCTCTCTTTCTCTCTTTCTCTCTTTCTCTCTTTCTCTCTTTCTCTCTTTCTCTCTTTCTCTCTTTCTCTCTTTCTCTCTTTCTCTCTTTCTCTCTTTCTCTCTTTCTCTCTTTCTCTCTTTCTCTCTTTCTCTCTTTCTCTCTTTCTCTCTTTCTCTTTCTTTCTCTCTTTCTCTCTTTCTCTCTTTCTCTCTTTCTCTCTTCCTCTCTCTCTCTTTCTCTCTTTCTCTCTTTCTCTCTTTCTCTCTTTCTCTCTTTCTCTCTTTCTCTCTTTCTCTCTTTCTCTCTTTCTCTCTTTCTCTCTTTCTCTCTTTCTTTCTTTCTCTCCTTTCTTTCTTTCTCTCCTTTCTTTCTTTCTCTTTCTCTCTTTCTTTTTCTCTTTCTCTCTTTCTCTCTTTCGTTTTCTCCTTCTCCTTCTCTTTCTCTTTCTCTTTCTCTTTCTCTTTCTCTTTCTCTTTCTCTTTCTCTTTCTCTTTCTCTTTCTCTTTCTCTTCTCTTTCTCTTTCTCTTTCTCTTTCTCTTTCTCTTTCTCTTTTTCTTTCTCTTTCTTTTTGTCTTTGTCTTTGTCTTTGTCTTTGTCTTTGTCTTTCTCTTTCTCTTTCTCTTTCTCTTTGTCTTTGTCTTTCTTTGTCTCTCTGTGTCTCGTGTGTCTCCCTGTGTCTATGTCTCCCTGTCTCCCCTGTGTCTTCCTGTGTTTTCCTGTGTCTCGCAGTCTCTCTGTGCCTCTCTGTGCCTCTCTGTGTCTCTCTGTGTCTCTCCGTGTCTCTCTGCGTTTTTCTGTGCCTTTGTATCAGAGAGAGACACAGATTGGCGTAAAACCCTCCCTCCCGCACTTTGCCCTTGGAAGCTCCTGGGAGCTGTCTGTCGCAGTATTGCTTGGCACGAACAGACAGCTCTTGAAGGACGATCTTCTTTTGGATTCTTGTTTTCTCTGTGAGTACTAGGGATAGTAGTTCTCCGGTGTCCAGCGAAACCATTGAACCTCACGAAGTGCTGCGCTTGTCACACAAACTGATGTCGCGGAGTCTGTTCTGTGCCAATGGGCTCGTCTCCAAGCCTGTTCCGAACGAGCTCCGGCCAGGTCAAAATTTGGTTACTTTCGAGCGTTGAAAGAAATTGGAACGCGCTGTGGGCTGCTTTTTTGAATCGTCTCTACACACACGCGCGAGCATTTGCTTTGTGCGTGTTTTTTTTGTCTCTTGTCAAGGAGTTAGCTTTCATTTAGTTGCCGTACCGCCGAAGCTTCTTCGAAACTTCTTTTGGTCAGTACAGCACGAGGAAGATCAAGATATGCCTGGAGAAATCGATCCGGTAAGACCTCTACTCAACTCATTTTTTGACGGCATACGCCCAAAATGAAACAGGTGTACTTGTGTGCTGCAGCACTGATTTCCGAGAAGGACGAGGACGATTTTCCCAAATGCCGCCGATGAACAATGAACAGAAAAGACCCATTGACAGAGGAGTCATCGACTTTTCTGTAATCCGTGGACATCAGGAGGCAAGGCGGAAGGCTGACCACATGCGTTGCTTACCCTCAAACCAAATTAAAAAAAAACCCGCCAGCTTGCCAGTGATGCTGGGGGTGATGCCGGGAATGTTGCTGGTGATGTTGGTGATGTTGGTGATGTTGCGGGTGTTGCTGGATGCTGGTGGGCCTTTGAGCACGTTATGAAATACAACAGTTGGCGCTCAAGGAACCATTCAGCACCCATTTCGTCTAACCATTTTGTCCTCAGTGCAGAACGACCGGTGTGGTGGCGGAGGGTTTTTGCGCCACCTCTGCTAATGTGGCCAGGTTTGTTTTCTTTGAGCTGCTTTTCTGGACACCTCTGGTCTCATCTGGTTATGGCGTTGGGATTTAGTTTGAGTGGCACTTGGGCTCCAGCTCTTGTTTGGGCCACAAGGTGTCCCCATGCCAAGTTGCCCACTATGGTTCATGCGGTTGGGCGACATGCAATACCCCGATATTTTAAGGCTATGGAAACAGGTTAGTGCCAGTCGGCAGGCGCAATGCGCTGCAATGCACTTCGCACAACGCTGCAGCGCGCGCAACGCTGCTCGGCACAGCGCGCACGCGTCGCACTGTAATGCAAATCGCGCTGCTTCTCGCAACGCGGCTCCGCGTGCAATGCGCTGCAACGTCGTGCAACGCGCGTGCGTGCAGAGGCGGTGCCACCAGAGTTTCCCAGGGCCAGTCGAAGCTGGCAGTACATGGCAAGGCAACTCAACAAGACACAATGAGGAACAAGGGACAGCTACCCATCATTGAACAGTTGACCGGCAACTGTGGGTTTGCGGGCTCAAGGTGCTGAAATGGTTTAGGAGGTTGGGAATCGCGCACGCCTCCCGTTTCATGGAACTGACACAAATTGGACTTTCAAAGCATCCAATTTTATGCAGAACCTGCATACCACTTCACAAACGCATGCGGCCATCATGAAAAAAGATAGCGAATGATGTGCTGGCACTCGTTGTTGACTATTCTGCTCTTCAATTTACCCGTGCATGGCTAGTGCGTTTCCGTGTGCGAGTTGCAGCATGATTGGATTTCTCTACTTTGTGAATCGTTGGCATGACGCATTTGCGTTTCCGGCTTGCAGCAAAGAGACACACACACACACACAGATGCATCAAGCAAACTTGAATCCGAGTTCTTGATTTGCAGCTTGCGAGACGGCAATCTGCGAGTTGCTAAGAACCACATGCGAGGTAAAACAAACCTTGGAAAAATGCTAAGCCAAGCCTGTCAGCAGGACATTTTGAACCGGAGCCTGGCAAAGGGCTTTCCATGCGCTGGTTGCATGCATGACCAAGGAGGCACGGAAGCAGGCATTGAGTCATATTTCATTTTGCGCTGTGCTTAGGCAGAATCATGCAGAGGCTGTTGCAGGAAGGGTGCTAGGCAATTGTGCCAGGGTCGATCAGTCCCGCGCGACGGTGGAAGCAGTGGCAAAGTGCTTAATGCATGCGACATACATGCCAATATGTTGGTGCTGGCGATATGTGATCGTCCTGACATAGACAAGGTTCCGTTATTGTCGAAGAAGATGCTTCCAAGACCAGGCGTTGCGTTCAGTGGTCAATGACAAGTTGCAGCCAAGTTGTTCGCAACAGTGATTGCGGAACTGATTTGATTGGCTTGCTCTCAAATTGTGCAATCAGTGGCCTGCCAAGTTTCTGTGCCGCTCATGCAACTGGCAGCCGAGAGCATGGAGTCATTTTCTCAGTTTGCATCCAATATTTGTCTATCGCCCGACTTGTGAAGCGTGAAGCAAGTGGTGCCTTATAGATCGTGACACCTAGGTGCTCTTTGTTGTGATCATTGCCGTAGAAACTGCCTCAGCAAAATTATACTTGATTTGGATTGTTTGTTGTATTGGCATCTTGCAGATACAACGATCGCAATGATTCAGGGTGTTTCAAAACCTGCACTTTGAGGCTGCTTGTATATATTTAGCTACCAGACCAAGCTTTTGCACTGCAGAGGAGGCCTGCGAAAGTGCGCTTTGCAAGTGAGCAAAGCTACCGCTTTCGCCGGGGTTCGAGCGATTTGTTTTTTCCGGTTTGATTTCAGGGACGGTGTAGCACCTCACCATGTTCCTGCCAAAATCTTGGCACCGCTAGTCAAAACGTTGCAGTTGGAGACTTGCTGTAACCCAGGTGCAGACGAATCCCATGCTGTTCGAGCGCTTGCAACTCCAGAGGCCTTTTTTTTCTCCTTTTTTCTGAGACGTGTGGGAGGTTTCTTGATGTTGCTCATCGTGACGGTCGGCAAACTGCTTTTGCTACTGCTGAGCCTTGCCAGGGAGATGTTTGCTGGCAATGCGTGGCATTTTGCCAGCTTCTCAGTTCCTTCGTCCGAATGAGCCAAAACCCGGGCATCTTCCTAGGCCCCAGTGGAAACGCAGGGCTCTTAGGCTCCTGAATCGAATGGTCGGTGCAACGACGAGCCTAGGAGCCTCAAGAGCCGCGCGCCCAGTGTGTGGGTTGCAAAGGGTCGAGCCAGCTGTGTTCCAGGTGCCGGCAAGGCCACTGTGAATGCTCAGATGCTTCGCAGGACAGAAAATCTTTCTGCAGTTTTTTTGCGCATTCGTAGGTGTTCGTATGCAAGGAGCGCGTTTTGTGGAACAGCAGCTCCGTGGAAGATCCCTGCTGGCGGCAGCTCGCCCCAAGCAAGACCGGTCTATCAGCTGCCATGATTGTTGGAGAGAGGGAGGGAAACGGTCCAAACCCGGCAAGTCTCGACGAACCCATCAATTGCTGGAAAGCAGGTTTGCTGTAGGATGGATGCTTCTGCGGGGCAAGACAGAGTTTGCCTGACTTCGTTAAAGCATGTCAGCAAGCCAGCTGAAGGTGCACATACTCCCCCATCATATCTCTGCGGTCTCAGGAGGCGCGTCCAGCCATGAGGGCCTTTGGAAGGTAACTGACGCCGCAGGCTTCGGCGAGCTCGTGCCTGGTGCGTGCTCCCAGGCTGGAGCCGCATTTTTTTTTTGGTGGTCCGAGGCTTTCGGACCGGCTCAGGTCCAAACTTCTCACGCTTCGGGGCGTGAGGCCTCCGAGTTCCAAGAGAGAATCGGGCAGTTGCAATTCTTCGAGTCACATGTCTCTCCACTTGTCGTGGGCTTCCACCTGCGGCAGTTTGGAGCAGTTGCTCCGCTTGGTGCTGGTCTCCGAGGACCCGTTGGCATATCACCGGTAGGATTCGGGTGCCAGCTGCAGGAGTCTGACGCAGCATCGTGTGCGTCTTTTGTACGGGAAGGCTGGCATTGATCAAGCTGGTGCTCTTGACTCCGTGCCATCCGTGTGGAAGGCATGATTTTGCGGGAGAAGAACACCAGCCTGTGCTTGAGCAGGAGCTCCTCAGGCACGTTACATCGGTTCGCGTTTTAACCACGCCCAGCCATGTCAACCACGCCCAAGGAAACCTGTCAGTGAAAAAGGCGCGCGTCAGCCGTCCGCCTCAGGTAGCTTGTGGGGACTTGGCAAATGCGCACCCACCACCTCGCAGGAGGCATCGGAACCACGGATACGGGCCATTTCGAAAAGACTGCAGTCTTCCAAGTCACCCCCTTGAACGTGGAAGATGTTGCGAGCCAGGCACAAGCTCAATCCTTGGCTGAAGTGCATCGAGACGGTGAGAAGGACATGGTCCTATTGTTTTTGCTTTGAACACGTGCACTTGACCCGTGCCCTAGGTCTACTGCCTTACAGATGCAGGTGCGAAGGACTGGCATAGATTTCTTGGTGACTATCACTGCCAGGCGTTGAGTCGTGTGTACAAGTCCGAGGGCATGTCTGTTCCTCGCGAGCAGCTCTCTTGAAATCTGCAAAGCTCAAATTCCTGGAGTGACGGTTCTGACTGAGGCTGGTACCTGCACGCCGACGGCTTGTGATTGCGAGGAGTATGGCTGGATGAAGACGGAGGCCCTAGACTCTAGTACCATGAACATTTAGAGCAGCATGAGCTCAGATGAAAGCTGAGGCAATTTTGGCAGACGGAAGATCATGCTGGTCCTGTTCTCCTCCAGCCGAGCGAAAAGAAGCGCGCTGCAAATTCCTGCGGTCACGTCTGGTGCCGAGGCCACGCGCCTTTGCTCCACAGATCCGCGGGTTTGCACGGCGAGCCCCTGTGAGTGCGAGGCGCCATGTGTCTCACGTCCCACATGCTCCTGCTTTTGCCCCACGTGATTCAGAGGATGCGGGGCACGACAAGGTGTCTCGTTTTATAGATAGCAACAGCAGCACGCGCCAGGCTCAGACTCAGAAGACTCAGAAGACTCAGAAGACTCAGAAGCAGTTGCAGTTCTTCAGTTCTTGCCCTGTACTCTTAGCTGAGGTGCTGGTCTTGCCAGCCACAAGGTTTGCGGATATGTTTGAAGAATGCTGTCGATACGATACCCTCTCATGTCGACATATGTATTTGCACATATATATATATATATATATACATATTCATCGACGCTCCCTCCCCTCCCCTCCCCTCCCCTCCCCTCCCCTCCCCTCCTCCCCCCCCTCCCCTCCCCTCCCCTCCCCTCCCTCCCCTCCCCTCCCCTCCCCTCCCCTCCCCTCCCCTCCCCCACCTCCGTCCGTCCGTCTGTCCGTCCGTACGTCCGTACGTAAAACTGATCACTTACAATCGCTTATAACATAGATAACACCGAATAGCACCACACTCTGACACCTGCACACGCATTGAGCCACTAGTATGTTCATGCGGGCGGATATGGGTTTTGGCAGTGAAAGTTTTCTGGACAGAAGATGCGGCAGGCCACACCAGCATGTTCGAGTCGTCCTTGGACTTGCCCCAAGTGCTGACATGTTACTTAATCAGTATCACTGCTGCAACTCGGACAACAGTTGTACAACGCAGCTACGTTGTTCTGGCTTGAGCCCCCAAGGTCGGCTCAGTGGGCATTCTCCTTTGCTGCCTGTCTGTGGCAGTTCTGATGAGGCTAGCTGTGGTCATCTTTTTCTTGCACAACTGCCAGCTGAGGAGACTTGACCCGATCAAAAACTCCCAGGCAGCGGAAGAAAGGGGGGGGGAGTCAGAGTGATGCCTTGTGAGCCTTAGGCAAGTTCGATGTCCTGGAGCGCGGGCTTGCTATTGGAGCTGGAAGAGATTCGGGCCACTCTGCGAGCAAAAAGATACGAGCAAAGAGAGGAACTGCAGGGCATGAGCAACGCCTTGAAATGGCCATGCCAGGCCACAGTGGAGGAGCATCTAGATTCGTGCGTCATGTTTTCCGCACAAACTGGCGTGCGTGGTTGTAAAGCTTGGCAAGTGGTGTACATGTATGAAGAGAAGGACAGCGGATATGTCGCTTGTTTTGCCCTGAACATGGCAGTCACACGCTTTGACGTCCAGGTGAAAGTGCTTGGTTCGAGTGACAGTGGATTTGGTGAATTGAATTCGCAGGACGCCTTGGTCTGCGTGGAGCACGCTATTTCAACAGCACTGCTGGGCTCTTAATCTTCCCAGCCCATTTCGAGCCATGAGCCTTGAGGCCTTTCAGCTGGAAGCGACAGACATCTGCAGCCGATGGCCAAGCCATCTCAGCGTTCGATGTGTGCAAGCTGAAGCACAGCACTCGGCGCCTCCCATCCGTAGCTTTGGGGAGTGGGTGAATGCTACTGCCGGAAAGGTGTCTCGCAGGGCAGAAAGCACAAGGGACACTGGTGGCCGAGTTTCAGCCGCGAAGGTGTCGGCGTCTGTCTGTGACGAAGGCAAACACGGCTACGACCTAAGTGCAGCTTGGTGACGGCGCTTGAGACGTCCTGATACTTTTGAGGTGAAGTCCAGGCATCCCAAGAGGGCACAGAGGATTGCCGGATGCATGGCTTTTGTCGCCCCGATGTTTTTTGGATTACAATAATCGCCTTGCAGGCTGAAGCTTCACTCGACGCAATTAGTACGATCCTTGGAGGGATTGGACTGACGCAGCAACTGGCGTCCATGTAAGGTGACGATGCAGTGGCAGACGTGCTCGAGTCTTTCAAGGTTCCAACGTCCCCACATAGCTTGCAATGCTCAGCAGATGCCATGCAGCACGGGTACGAACAGCATGCTCTGCAGGCAAATGCCTCTCAAGACGAGCCAGATGTGCAGGCCATTCGAAAAATACTTGACATGCACGTCATTGTTTGTTGGCATCGTTCTATCCGTTTGCTTTCCATTCCAACTCCCATTTGGTTCAAGTTGCAGCCTGAAGGTGAGGAAGCGGCGGAAACCCAAAAAGGCCCTGGCAGCACTGCGGCTTGTGGAATTCGACGTGCTTCTGTAGAGGCCAAAGATGCCAAGGTCGAAGAGGACATGGGTAGACCGGTGGATGGGTTTGCTACATCTCATGATTTCCACTTGCGCTCAGATCCCGCAGCTTTGTTCAGCCGAGCTGTGGGCAACTGCGGGAGCGGTTCAACATGGCGCTTCTGCGGCTGACTGTCCAGGCGGTTCTCAGCTTCACGATTCTAAGCTGAGGTGGTGAGGTCGGGCAATTGAAGTTTTTCCCCCGCTGCGCGCTGAGGATAGCAGCCGCTGGCGAAGGATTTGAACCTTTCGGCCACGGCCTGCGAAGATACTTTTTGTTGGACGCTTGGCCATGCGGTGCTTCACGATATTTTTCACTCACTCACTTTTGACTTGGGGTTTTTCCGCCTCTCGATCTGTCATTATTCCGAGGACAGCAACTATACTAACCTGAACCATGGATCTTACGGAGCCACTCCTGTTCCGGTACTCGACGCGGAAAGGCAGTGGCAGAATCTCATGGAGCGCAATCCTGATCATTGGTTCCGTTTTGATGGAGCTGAGCTTAGCTTCCTTGTGTTGAGTCACAGCCTTTGGATGCCGTGAGTTGAACGTTCATGTTGGGAGCTCGGACAAAACTGTGCTGCAGAAGTTGAGTGTTGCACTTCCGTCCCTGTTGAGTATCAAGCAAGGCCCGGACACTCTCATTGGAGCTGTAGACGGAGTTCGAACGCGAGTTGCTAAGTATGTCAAGGCGGCTGCAGAAGATATAGTGTTTGTTGATGGCGCTTCTGGTGGGGTCAATGCTGTCATACGGTCGATTCGCCTTCCCTCCACGGCATCTATTCTGTATTTGAACACTGCCTACCAGATGGTGAAGAACACAATCTCATATGTGCACCAAAACAACAAGATGGAGCCCTTGCTGGTGAACATCTCACTGCCTGCGCCTGACGCTGAGATTGTGGCCCTAGTTGAGCGAGCTTTGGCGGACAATCCCTCTGTCCAGTTGGCCAGCTTCAGTCACATCACCAGCGTGCCAGCCGTCATTTTGCCTGTCCAGGAGCTTACGCGAGTTTGCCGTGAAAAGGGAGTGATGGTACTGATCGATGGGGCACATGCAATGGGCCAAATCCCTCTGGACATACCTGCAATTGGCGCAGACTTTTACGTGGCCAACGGGCACAAATGGCTGTACAGCCCCAAGGGAAGCGCAATTCTATGGGTGTCACCCGACAAACAGCATTTGGTTCATCCACCTGTCATCAGCGATGAGGGCAGAGGATCAACTTTTTTTCAGCTTCAATTCTCTTACACCGGCACAAAAGACTATAGCGCTTTCCTGGCGGTCTCAGCTGCGCTTGATTTCCGAGACCGTCTTGGTGGCGACGACCGCATCATGCAGTACATGCATGAGCTGGCTTCAAAGGGAGGCGATTTGCTTGCGGAGAAGCTGGGAACATACAAAATGGCCACTGGCGAGATGGCAATGGTGAACGTTGGCCTTCCAGCCGCGTCGAGAAGATGCTGCACGATTGAGTTGTCTCGCAAACTGCTCGTGAAGCACGGCACCCTTGCGCCTGTCTACCCCTGGCAGGGCGATTGCTTTGTCCGTGTCAGCGCTCAGATTTACAATGATCTCTCAGACTTCGCCTTCCTAGCCAAAGCATTGCTGGATATTCTGGAAACGGATTGCAACAGCGAACCACTGGACACTCTCGAGATGTGATGATGCAGATTCAATTCAAAAACAATAACCTGCTCGGCATCGCGTTTTTGCGTGAGCTGTTGTAGGCGCTTTTTGTTTTCCACTTGTAGATCGAATTCCAAGGAGACCGCGCAACAAGACTCTGGGCAGCTTGCGGCGACCTCAAGACTGGTGCAAACGTCTGCAAGTTGCTTCGGCCTTGCAAAGTTGGGCATGCATAAGGCCTGGGATTTGCTGGGCCTACACGACCAGGTTGAGAAAGAATCAGGAGCTGAGCCTAGCTGGCGTAGCTTGCTTTTGCATTCATGCCGCACGTAGTTAAACGAGTCCACGGACGCCTGGCTTCAAGCTGATAAGGTGTGCCGCACGGGCGCTGCTTGTTGCTTGCGCAGCTTCCAGCCGCGCCTTGGAGTTTGACCCAAGTGTCGCCAGCGATGCGAGCAGCTCAGGCCGATGCAAGCTTGACTTCCAAAAGGCTCATAGCCCATGCAAGCTTGGTCTGCGACCCGGAAGTCTGTGTCTAGCAAGGCACAGAAGCACAAGACATGCAATATTTTCAAGGCACATAAGACACAAGACTCGCAAGACACAGGGACACAACCCATACACAATGACAAAGACATATTTTTGGACATGGTGTTTAGTTGTGGCGGTCAAAGGGCATGGTTTTGGTCATGTCTGTGCCGTGGGTTTTGGCTCCAGAGGGAGGCGGTCCAGCTTTTTAGCTGGGACGGCCGCATCTGCATCATGCAGCCAGGGCCTCCGCTTGAGTCAGTTGGAGTCAGCTCTCATGGGGTTCACGGGTCAAGGGCTTTAACGCCTCAAAGCGAAGCCGTTGTTGCCTTCGCTTGCCGTTTTCCGCAAGTTTCGCCATTCGATGATTATTTGACTGAGGTCCGGAGTGAAGGTCCTTTCACCCGTGCCTCATGCAACCCCTCGGGCGCATAGTGGCAGCCGAGTTGCATGCTCGGACGTGCGCAGTAACGGCAGTCCCTCATTGACAAATTTTGCAGAACACTCACATCATGCATGTGCTGGAATGAGGTGGAGGCGAGGCCGACGCAACATCCTCAGATTGTTGTGTGTGAAAAGCCAGGAGGACACTTCTTGAGTTGTCAAAGTCACCTGGGGTGAGGCTGCGGCAACAGCCAACGACAATCTCAAAGATGGGTACAGCTGCCTTGCTTGATTTGGAGCGTGTACAGGGAGCAGAGTCAACGATTGTGCTAGGTCAGAGACAGTCTCCATCTTGGACAGCACTTGATGAGTGCTGAGACCATGCAAGCTGCTGCCCAGGCAAAAACCATCTTATGTTCATCCAACTGTGGCCATTGTCTTAGCATCTGGTTGATCTGCCAAAGACTTGCCAGGGATAAATTTGTGAGAAGGAGCAATTTGCGCCTGAGGGTGCCATGTCCTCTCAAACATGGATGGTTGGCTTGTGGTCGCAGCCTTCCTTGCAACAGCCTGGCCGAGTTGAAAGTCACCCGCTATATTGTGGAGCACAGATTGTTCTCCTTGCTGACTGCTCTCCTCACAGCTGGGGGCTCAACTGAACTGCGGATAGCGTCTGCAAGATGCAACAATGCTACTCATTCCAACTGGCTTCGTTGTCAACAATGCTAATCTGAGATATATGCCCTCACCGGCGATGACATGCGGCTGATATTCACTCACAAGCCTGCAGATCCGGCCAGCAGCTTTGTTGTCTGCCTTGCAGTTGATGCCTTTCTCAATGACTCAATCTTTGTCCAAGTCGGCGAAGCCAAGGTGTTTGACGGCTTGACTCTCCTTTGCATCGTCGTGTTCGTTCTAGAGATCGTACTATGTATGTTTGCAAAGGAGTGCATGATTTTCGTTGCTTTGACTCGCGGGCGAGTCATGACCTGCACTGTTTGCGCTTGCTGCACGATTGGACACGATAGGACGATTACTTTCTGAGCTTCTTTTTCGTCCTTGACATTGTGTCCACAGTGACGTTAGCAGCTTTCTCAGTCGCAAGGTCCAAAATTGGGTGCGGGAATCAGGCCCAGTTTCGAAGCACTGCAAGGAACAAAGGCGAGGCGGGTTCGAGCCAAGGTGATTGACCTCACTTGGGTCAACGATAGTCTTCAGGGCAGTGAAGAGGAGCTGCATGGCCTAGCTGCCTGTAGCAGCGCCATTCAATGCATGCCGGCAGGACATGTCCAACGACCGTGTGTCGGGGACTGCCAAGATTGGGACGAGAACATCTCGGGTGGTGCGAGTGTTGAGGCTGGCTTGTTTTGAAGTTCGCGTCACTTCCATGATGCACTGACACAGGCTAATTCGCATCATCAAGCTGTACAAGGCCATTTACGAGGCTAGACAGCTGCAAAAGAAGAAGGAGGCGGGCGAACCAGGCGTCTTGACAGATGTTTCAGCGAGTTTTCTGAATGATTTGTTTTCAGGAGATGGCGAAGCAATCGGCAATGGAGCAGCTCTATCCTGGAAACTCCGATGATGAGGATTCCTATGATGACATGGAGGCAATTCTTTCTTTGGCATTTGATTTTCGCGGCTTGCTCACCTGGCACTGTATGCCATGCCCTGTTGCTTTCCAGCATGTCAATGGCCCTGGAAGGTGCAACAGGCCTGGAGCTAAGTCAGGATTCCTTCTTGACTTTCGCTTCAATCCCCAAACTGATGCAGAGATTGTGATTGAATGTCGCTTTCAAAAGCTTGCCACAGCAGCCTGCTTGTTCAAATGAGCAACCCTCTTCTGAAGTGCAAGGCTGTCAAGCTAGGGTTTAGGCAGTGTTTGGGAGCTTTGCTCTTGCCAGGCCAGCATGACAAGAGTGCCTGGCAAAGAGAGCAGAGCCGGTGACCAAGCGAAGCGATTCACAGGGGCAATGCCACTCATGATTGTCCGCATTTGATTGAAAGGTTGGGAAGAAGCTTTCAGAGAAGACCACGCGGCGAGTGATTCTTCTGGCAGGGGGCTTGTTCTTGTCCAGATGAACTCTCACCCCACACGACCTCAACGGCTGGTCTGATATATGGTCTGGTCACTTCACAGGTTCTGGTGATGATGCTGGTTCTGCCTTATTTGAAGGCTGGCAGCCTAGCTGGTTCATCCTGCTCACCGTGTACAGTGCCTGTTGCCTCGCACATGCAAGGTGGAAGATGCACAGCAATTTCCAACCTCGGCTGGCTATGGTGCTGACGTCATCAACGAGGCGAGCCACTGGTGAGCCTGTGAGACTCTGTTGGCAAGCCTTGGTATCACACCGAACTTGATATGGCCATGAATCTTAACAGGGAACCACCTTAAAAGTGATTGGTGGACATGAATCCCTACCTAAATGATGTCCACCAAAGGGTCCCTTATTAAAATTCATAGCCATATCATCACTACTCTTCTTCTGACAGGCCTTCAATCAGTACCTCCAGAGCCAGCTCCTTTGACATGCCTTGTGGCGAATGCCATGTGCAACGGACGAGATGGCTGGTCTGTTTTCAACGTTTGGAGAGGATATCGGGGGCCTACCCCATTCAACCTGTAAGTAATCCACGGGCTCATATTTCAAGTGAATCAATCCAACCTGCTTCTGGCTCTTGCACCACTTGAACAGTTGAGAATGTCTGTCTTAACAGAGTTATCGACTGCCCAAGGCAATACCACGGAGGACAAGGCCAAGTATGACAAAGCAATGCTTCAGTGCCCTTGCGAACAGTTGGAACGGCAATGCAGGCATACACATTTTGTCAAGCAACCCTTTGGGCAGGTACATATACTACCACAATTGGTTCACCAAGCAGCTTGCGTGCTCGACTCAAAGCATGGTGCAGTAGAAGTGGCAGCGATGCAAATCCGGCCGTATTTGATAGCGGCAAGCCTACTGCAGGAGCCCCAAGCATGAGAATCGATACGGTTTGTCATATCACCCGTGGCAACAGTAGGATGTGTTGCTGCAGGCTTTGCAGCTGACCGTCAAAAAATCCGACATGGAACCATGTTGGGAAGATGCTGAATGAGCGCACATGCTGAGGAGTTGTCCAGTGACAGACTCCGACTGCTCGTGGACATTCGACTCCCATGTGTTTTGGGCCGGCCCGTCTGTGATTAGTCTGCTTCCAGCAATACTACGATGTCATTCATAACGAGGAACCCGGATCGTCTGACGCACTCACGGCAGGTTGGGTTTGTCAGCAACGAGGAGAGCGTCCTGCTGGACAGGGCTTCCAAAGCAAGGGCGCGCTTCTAAAACGAGAGACGGCGTGCTTCGGTTTTGGTTTTGAGACTCGGTTGTGATGGTGGGTGGTGGCGCTGAGGTCGAGTCCAGCGCGGTGAGCAACATGGAGTCATTGGTCAGCACCACCATGGAGGGCAGTGGCAATGCGCCCCTCTCAGAGACGGACTCTCACCCCATTTTGACCCTTTCGTTTTGCCTCAGCGCGCCCACAATCCCCGAAAGGGACAAATCTTAGGTGGTTCTACCTGGTCGAATAAGGGTTCCCAGAAGGCTAGAAAAGGACCCTTCCAACGTTGGAACAAAAAGTCACTGGGATTTAGGCACTGCTTACACACCCAGGCATGGATCTATGTGTTCGGCCATATGCCCTCCAAGGCTTGCGTTTCAAGGTTTCTGTTGCGTCTCGAGCGTCGAAAATCGGACCGCAGGTCCAGACAATTCTAGGTTTGAGTGGAGCACTCGGTTGGGCCACGTCGAGTTGGTCCGATGTGGTCGAGCTATTTTTGTTCGAGGCTGGAGCAGAAGCTGTCCTCTCCCAAGCGGTACGTTGCCGCCTGAAATGCATCAAACTTTTGTCAGTTTGTCAAAGACATGTTGTTGTCTTCATGGCCGATATGCGTTTCAGGAAAAGACGGGGAATCTCCCTTCTCGCAGAAGCCTTTGTGGAAAGCCCCTGGCAGGCAACGTGAAGCGGCTGAATTCAATGCTTCTTTTGGCGAAACGGACGGCAGGTGGACTATGCAGTGCCATGTCCGGAAAACTTGCGCAGAGCCGTTCTGACCTGAGCTTTCTCATATTTTGGGTTGATGGTATTGGCATGAGAGGCTCAACGGAAAGAAAGGTTGTTGACCCAGGAGAGGAAGAAGTACACCCCCCGTTTGAATGTCGCGACCTCTCAATTCGAGGACCAGGGCGACCTGATGTCTTTCGAGTGTTGGTCTACACAGTTAGCTGGCGGTGCCTGCACTGCCAGCTCAGTGGTTGGGCAGGAGCTGCACTTTGCCTTTTACTTTGACCTGCGGCCCTTCGTCAAGCAGGAGTCCTTGCTGGGCCCTGATTTTTTTGATCGGCAATGCTGGTGACTGCTCAGCTTGGTGTGGCACAAGCAGAGGTATTTCTTGCCCGCAAACCGAGGTTCAACCTCTTGACTGTCCTCTTTGTTTGTGTGATGCTACGTTCGGCGCCGAGAATTGAACTGAGCGGTCTCGGCCGGGAGCGAAGCGACGGCACCTGAGTCCTGGCATCCATTGGCTTTGCCAACGACGCGAATCGACTGGTGCTGT